CTGGGGTTACAGAGTGCTGGGATTACAGGCGTGTGCCACCACGCCCGGTTTGTAATTCATTTCTTATTGTGGAATTACTATCAAAAACTCTAAAAATTGCTGTATCAAAAGATGGTTTTCCATGGAATCAAGTAAGCTATATCACATGAAAATAATTTATGAAGAGTTTCTGTTATCACGATGATATGCTTATAATAAAACAACATGGATGCAGCAGGAGGATTGCAAGTTTGAGCCCAGCATGGGCAACCTAGTGAGACTCTTGTCTCAAAATTTTAAAAATGTGAAAAGGGCTGGGATATAACTCAGTGTGAAGGCCCTGGGTTCAATCTCCAGAACAAAACAAAAATAAAAAAAGAAAGAAAACATGTCATGTACAGTTTAATGTAGTCTCAACTGTATAGAAAAATATATATACATAGATAAAAAGACTGGAATACACAAGGCCAAAATTTTTAGTTAACTCTAGATAAACAAATCATTCTACTAATTTCTACTCAGCATTTCCTAGGTATCAACTATCATCCTTAGGTACAGGAAATAAAGCAGTGAAAAAAAATGCTGTCTTGCAAATTGAATGCTATTCCCTTTTTTATAAATTTTCCCAAGAATATGCATTATCTTTTATACATATATATGTATCACTTTGTCTTGCTGCAGGAGGGTGTCATATGTAGTTCAAGCCCCAGTACCACCTATCCCACACAAAAAATGGTCCATGCAATGATGTAAATTAGGATGTGGGCCACAAAGAACTCCAAGTGCTCCACAGATTTCAAGGCATTAGTAAAAATTCCCATACCTGAAACTTCATTCCTCAGCAAACTGCTCAGGCCAAGAAAGTTATGATGCAAAACCAGTAAGAAGAGAACAACGGCCAGGACCAGAATGACAATGTTTACTGCAACAGACAGAAAAAACATGCATTATCTCTCTGTACCTTTGACCAGGTATAAAAACAACATAACTTACAGAAAGAACATACCTTTACGAAATGACATCTTTTTCTTCTTATATATTAGTTATTAACTCTACAAAACAAAATCAAGCCCCCAAAGTCAGTGAAGTAACTGCATGACAATGGCCATCAAAATGCCTAGACACTTTTACTCAGGTAGAAAAAAGAGGCACATATGATATTCTGCTAGAAAGGCATAACTTGGAAAAACATGTAGCCTTAACCTCATACACTGTATATTTCAAGATTAAATGAGATGTAGATTCAGTTGTCTATGATGAAGTAACCTAAGAATTTAGAATGCTATTCTTAATTAAAAATCTGCTAAAGGAAAAATAAAGAGCTTCTGAAGCTCTAGCTCTGTTGGTTAACTACCATCTATTAAGAAAATAGTGTCCAATATTGTCCCTTTGCCCTGACCAATCCTCTGTAGCTCATCTGATACCTTCACTTTCTCTTTACAAATAATTCCATGGAAACAAGACTGTAGTGTCATTAAATTTATGGAGCAATTAAATTTTTACAGTAATCTCTAGGAAATATTTCCTTAAAGACCCATTTTATTCAACTATGATAATAGCATTATACATTTGAGAACTTTAGCCCTTTTTAAGCTTTATCTTCGCCTATAGTACTACGTTTTACATAAGACTACTTATTTTCCAAAGCACTTTCAAACGTATTTCTAAGAACCAGTTACTCTGTGTTTTTTTGTTTTGTTTTGTTTTGCTTGAGACAGGGTCTTGCTATGTAGTTCAGGCTGCCCTTGAATTCATTATGTAGTCCAGGCCGGCCTCAAACTCATGGCAATCTTCCTATCTTAGCCTCCAAAAGTGCCGGGATTACGGCTGTGTATCACCACACCCAACCAAAAGTAACTCTGAATTAATTTCATTCTATGAGAACAGAGTGCCATCAGGCACTTGATTTCTCAAGGCCTTTGAAAACAGTAAAATATACTGAGGTGCTTCAAAACTGGGCATTATGGGCCAGATTACAAATCTGGGTTAATGTAATTTAGACAAACTAAAACACAAGCATACTCATCTCTTCCCGAAGCAGTATACATGAAATACATTGTATTAATGATCCTCCTTTCTAAAGAGTACATATTATATGCCCCATGCTATATATGTCTCTGTCACATTGTAGACTGAACCTTACCTTAAGAAGCTGGTAGATTGAGAGCTGCTCAGATAAAAACCCTAACATCTGCCTGCGTTGAGCCAGCTTCCACTACAACTGGACATACACACACACACACACACACACACATACACACACACACACACAAAACAAAAAAACTCATTCTAATAAATCTCAAATAAGTATGAATACAAGGAACAATGTTTTACACACACACACACACACATACACACACACACACACAAAACAAAAAAACTCATTCTAATAAATCTCAAATAAGTATGAATACAAGGAACAATGTTTTAGCCCATCAATGTCCAGTAATGGTTACTTATAGATTATACATGGGTCAACATACATGCATTTGTGCTATTCCAGTTAGCTGAACACAAGAAAAACATAATTCTAGTATTTAATGTACAGCATGGCAGAAACCACTTGCTCCTAAAACTTTTACACATGCAAAATGCCAATTATTATAGAGTATTTTGATCTGTATTTCTTTTCCTGGTAGTGAAGCTACCTTGATGTGTTTTTTTTTGCAGTGGGGGGAGGTTCCAGGAATCGAACTCAGGACCTCATGCTTGCCAGGCAGACGCTTCGCTGCTGAGCTATATCCCCAGCCCCCTTCATCTGTTCAGAAGGAATCCTCAAAACAAAAATGCATGTACACTCTGGATATGTAATAGCAATATATTTTTGTAAGAATACACAACTATCCCATTTGATTGGCAATCTTACATTGTTCACTATGAAAAATATTTTTCCTTAGAAATTATAAAACCTTCACATTCCCAAATTACTCATAAAAGGCCATCCTCTCTTCCACACAAAGCCTCGCCGAGGGTTGTGCTTTGCCTTTATGAGGCCCCACCAGCCAACCAGCTGCAGAGCTGCTTCTTCTGTTCTATACAACCTGGGTTCCAGCCCCACCATTCCTTCGGCAGCCTCCTCCCAGTGCTGTGTATGTCCTTCTACCTGCTCATGCTGAAGACACAAGCATCCTTTGCTTGGACCCATACAGCCCTTTCACCTAGAGCTGCAGGTCATTTGCAGAAGCCATTTCACCAAGGATACTCAAGAGAAGCCATCACTGACAGGAACACCTGGAGGAGCTAAAGGAGAAGGCCATGCAGCTATCGGAGAGAAGAGCATTCTTCAAAGACAGATGATGATGTAGGGTCTTGAGGCACAAGTGTAGAAGGCAGAAGTAGCAAGGAGGCCAGTGTGGCAGTAGCAGAGAGCAGATTCTGGAGGGTTTTGTAAACCACTGCTTAGAGCTAAGCTTTGTTCTAAGTAAAACAAGAAGTTGCGGAAGAAACTTCTGAGAAGATGGCAGAGTGGTAAGTACCAAATTACTCCTAAAAAAATAAAACACCCCCACACACACATACACATGAGAAATCAAAGGTGGGCATAGCCATTAATATGAAAGAAACTTCAGGAGGGAAAAGACCAGCTTCTTTATTTTTTTATTTGCTAGCTACCTACATCTATATATACACTCTCAGCACCTGTGCCTGCTTCTTGTTTTCCCTCCTGTGACTGTGGGTCAAGTAGCTCCATGACAGGCCATTCCACTGGTGCTCTGGATACTGTCTGATAATTGTTTTCTTGGTGTAGCATCATCAACTTTTCTCACTCAGCGGTGGGTCACATCCAGCAACATGTTCACACATGTTCTGGTGACTTCCCCTTAACTAGAAAAAAAAAAAAGATACCACTCCCCCCACTCTATTCCAGCTGACCCACAAGCACATTTCTCTGCCACCCTTTTTTTTTTTTTTTTTGAGTGTCTGGCTATGCAGTTCAGGCTGCCCTTGAACCCACTATGCAGCCAAAGCTGGCCTCAAACTAGCAGTGATTCTCCTGCTTCAGCCTCCTGAGGGTTGGGATTACAAGGATCTCCCTCTTCACTTTAAAAGCTTGACAGGATTCAACATCTCTAGCTCCACCTTCTCTCCTCTCCATCCTCCCCCAACCAGACTTCTGTCCCTACATTCAAACTGCTCTTGTGGAGGTCACCAAAGTCATCTTTTTATCCTCCCCTCTTTACTGCCAAAGCCAACAGGAAAATTCACCCCACTCCTGCTCCTCAGTTATAGAATTATCTCATTTATCTGCTTATTATTATTATTATCGTCTTGTCTTCACTGACTAGAATGGAAGCTCTAGGAAAACAGGGACCTTGATGAAAATGTTTACTGATGTATCACTGCCACCTAAAGCTGCCTGGCAAATGGCAGTAGGCAGGTGATATTTGTTGAATGATCGAAAAGAGAAGGAAATCTTTGGTAATCATGAAATCAAACCTACAACGTAAGGGAAAACATGGAATTGCAATGGATATCCTCCCCTAACCTGACAAGCAATTAATTTTCTTTTCCTAGTTCTTTGTTCAAACATCCTAAGGATTCCACAGCGATTGGCATCCTACGAAGTGCACTTGAGAAGCAACCCAGAGGAACATGTTTATTCGTAAAGACAACGGAAAGTCTGTTCACAGAGCAAGAAATACAGACGGTGCGAGAGAAAGGAGTCGCTTGCAAACTCTTGCTCTTCCTTGTATCTGCCCTCTACGCGGACCGGGCTCCTGCTGAGACCGAGGTCTGTATTTTACTGAAAAGCACTGAGAAGATCTAGTCGCTTTCTCCTACCCCTTCATGGCTAGTTCCTACTTGTCTTTCAGCAGCTGGGGCGCCCTTCCAAGCGCCACGCTGAGCTGTACCTCCTCTCCCTAACTTCCCACAGCTGCGGCCACCCTCCCCGCCCGGCGCCCCCGCCCCCGGTCAATGCAGCTGTCATGTGTTTCTGGTGCGATGTGGCAGCCTCCCTTGACATCTCTGGACCCTAAAAAGGCCAAGCATGGTCCACTGGCTGCCACAAACAAGAAGCCAGAGAGAATTTGCTACATGTGCGGCGGCGGGGGCAGGCACACCCCTCCCCGCCCCGAGTCCCTAGAATCCCAGGATCTGCAGCTGACCGTGCACTTAGGGCAGAGACCAGGGAGAGCCCGCTGACCCCAAAGCACAGGAGCCGGTTTCTCTCCGAACGCGCGCACCCCGCCTAGCTGGCCCACGGGGGAGGACCCAAGCTTTTCTAAAGCACCAGCTTCAGGGACTGGAACCCTTGGCGGGTCTCCATGCGGAGGGCCCATCCTGGGTCTGTGAAGCGGCCAAATAGGTCGGCGGGCAGAGCTTGGGACCTCAGGAGGAGGGCTGTCTCCGCGCGGTGAGCAGCGCCGAGGACCCAGGTCTCCTCTCGCAGAGCATTACTTCTCTCCGGGAGTCCGGCCCGGGCTCTCCTAAATTCTAAGAGTCGGTGGGGCCGGCTTACGCTTAGGAGTGACAGGGAGCTGGCGAAACGTCCCGGGCCCCCGCCACGCCCGGACAGGCAGGGTTAAGGCTCGGTATGGGTAAGTCGTGCCGTCAGACGCCCGCCGCTGCCACCCTTACCTGCAGTGGGA